TATTTTATTATTATTATTATTATTATTATTATTATTATTATTATTATTATTATTATTATTATTATTACTATTATAAGACTGAGATCAAATAGAAGTAAATAATGCCCTAATTTGAAACGATGCAATGCCGTTATGGTTCCGATTTCTTCACAAACTTACAAAGCAGTATTGTTACTCCATGGATCATAGTGATACTGTTTATGTTTTTTGTATCTGTATGTTAATGAGCCGCCAGCCAATATCCATCTATGGATACTATGCCTGTTTCTTTGAGGTAAAAAAAGCATAGTATGTACGTATTCATTATGCTTTATAATGAACAGACATATTGTTCAAAGTTTAATCGTTATTTGTTTGTTGTTTATGTGTTCTATTCACAAATGGCCACAGAGGCTGTTTTCATTCATAACCACATACCCCTATCAAGACAACAAAGACTATACCTGCGTGTACACAGTTGACATTGGTTTTTTTTTCTGAAGAGGTGTAACAGCAAAATTCACAGAGATAAATAAATACGTAGTGTGGTTCAGTATGCAATACTATGTGTCAGTCCATTCTGTATTCGTATGCCACGGTGTGTAGATCTTGTCGATGTATGTCTGTCCATTCAAGGCGTAGTATGTGTGTGTGTGTGTGTGTATGTGTGTGTGTGGGTGCACGCTTGTGTGTGTTATTTTACCTCATTAAGTATGCATCAGATTGCACGATTTCAAGTTAAAAATTTCAAAAGCTCCCTACCGTGGAAGGGGGGACACCCCCCTCCCACACCCTCCCCCCGCTCGGTCGCTTCGCTCCCTCGCTCGGGCGCTTCGTGCACGCTTGTGTGTGTTATTTTACCTCATAAAGTATGCATCAGATTGCACGATTTCAAGTTAAAAATTGCAAAAGCTCTCTACCGTGGGAGGGGGGACATCCCCCCTCCCACACCCTCCCCCCGCTCGGTCGCTTCGCTCCCTCGCTCGGGCGCTTCGCGCCCTCACTAGCGTTGGCAGCCCAGTCATCCCCCCCAGGTGTACGAACCTGTCTACGCCACTGGCTGTGTTGCATTTGTAAGATAATAATAATAATAATAGTTCGTTCTAACTTGTAGAATATCTCCGCTTCCAGAGAGCTTTGGGAATTTATTATCCAAGCTTTAGCTCTGGCAGCCGTTTTAGATAGACCTACCAGGTACCCATTTACCTCACATGGGTATAAAGTGTGGAAAATGTAGATAATCGTTTAGCCAAAGGACATTAGTGTTGAGGCAGGGATTTTAACCCCGTACCTTGTGGTTCACAGTCTGGAGACTTATCCACTTGACCACAACACCTCTATATTTTTTATTATTTTTCCTCAGTTTCCTATAAGACATGTTAATCTTTACCATTTTATTTTGATAGAAATGCAATTACTCTATACTGACATAACCAACGAAAGAGTTTGAACGGTTTCTTGATCTATCAATATATTGCATATACGATAATAGCATGTAAATAGCTGCATTATGATAAGAATACAGTAGGATTTAAATTTGTTGATTGTGCAGTTATCTGTAAGACATGTAGCTCGAAGAATCGAAAAGGTTTCACGGTATTGCTATCCGCACAACGATACATTTGATGTAAATATCTGCATTGTACTAGTATTTGTGAGGATCATTCATACTTTCTTCCTTAATCAGATATTATGTTTATCTGTTATATCTTTAATAGACCAAAAGGTATAATATTAAAAAAAAGTTTCAGTTCAATTTTGTGTCAATTTTGTTATCCAAGATACCATACCATGTTTGACGTCATACAATGTAAATAGCTGCATTGTACCAGTATTTGTTTTCTTCATCAGATATTTTGTTAATCTATTCTATCTTTAGTTAAAACAAATGTTATAAAATTAAGTGAGTTTCACCGCTTTGTGAATTGTGATATATCAAAAGATTATGCACAATAATTATCTGCTCTCATGGAAAGCTGCACTTAGTATATAAGAATCAAATTGGTTGATTTCTGTTAAATTGTGTAACATAAGATTTTGTTTGTATATTCTGCGTACATGCCCGGTAATGATCATGTACTTGTTTACGTGGAGATCACGTGGTCATCTTGTTTCTTCGCTAGACTCTCATAGCTCAGTCCAAGGGTAGATCAGGGTTCGAACCCCAGCTCGTCTCTAACGTCCTTCCTTGGAAGACATTAATCCACACTGGGCACTCTCTACCCAGGTGTAGTAAATGGATACCTGACCATGCTGAGATAATAATAATCGCAAAGCCCGCAGGAAGAGCATGTGACTACCCCTGATAAATAAGACCCATTTATTATATTAATTATTATCTTTCTCTTTCCCTGAAGGAATGCCTTTCAATAACGGATTTGTAATCAGATCGTAGACCTGGGGAAGAATAGTATTTAAGTTTGACGATTCAATATTTACACAAACGTATTACGTATAAATGTGATACGTGATACGGGCCAAGTTGTCAAGGTTGATGGACCCAAACAATTTTGCGTTAAACAATGGCGTGGTGATCATCTCAAGTGGCAAACACATAATTTGTCCGGCTCCAACCCGTTGCTTGAATAAATTCGCGGTGAACCTCATGCCCAGGCTCTCTTCTTTCGAACCAGTACCTGGGATAACGAGCGAATATTGACATTAGCACTTCGGTACTTTTTGGGTGCGATTCCGTGTAATGTGCCCAAAATGCAAGAATCGTGTTCACATACATAGGCCCTAATTCTCAAATCAAGAAGCTATTTATAACCGTTGAATAATGTTGCTTCCTGCCTTTACTCCCGTTAGTCATTGACATATCAAGGTTTTTTTCATTCATTGGTGACAAATATGGAAAATGTCACAATGGGACGTATTGCACTGAATCGCCTAATGCATGTAAATCGTTGACATTTGTCACAACATTACTGAAGGAGTCTGTGGGAGAAAAAAAAATGAAATTATCTCCCATAACTTTAATAGTTTGTACTTTTTTACAGACTTGACTTAATATTTCTTTTTGTTATGAAGTTAATATTTTTTTTTAAATTCCACTGTATTTTTTTTTTTATTATGAAACTAAATTTTGATGATATAATTTTGTTTATTTACCATGAAAGATATGAGTCTGTTCTCTGTAATAAAACTATACTGGTAGACAGGACGCTAATTATGATGAAGATATTCATTGTGATCTAATTCGTGTGTATTTGTCAATATTCATACCGAAATCACAAAATATGCGATAAAGAAGTAAAATAACAGAATATGTAAAGAAAAACAAATAGAGGCAAGAAAGAGAGAGACAGAAAGAGAGAGACAGAAAGAGAGAGACATAGAGACAGAGGGAGACAGACAGACAGACAGAGGGAGTGATAGAGAGAGGGTAGGGGAGGGAGAGAGAGAGAGAGAGAGAGAGAGAGAGAAATGTAGAATGAAATAAACCAATAATCAGAGAGAAAGACTATGCTAGGGAAATAAATGAAAAAATAAATTTGTAATGAGAGAGAAATAGAGAAGGGAGGAAGATGTAAGACAAAGGAAGAAAGAAAGAGCCTGAGAAAGGGAGGGGAAAAAGATAGTGAAAGAAGAGAGAGAGGACAGAGTAGAGAATGAGAGAGGGAAAAGAAAAAATGGAGAGAAAGAGAGAGAGAGAATAGAGAGAGTGGGAAGAAGAGAAAGAGAGAAAGATAAAGAGAGAAAGAAAGAGAGAAAGAGAGAGAGAGAGAGAGAGAGAGAGGGCTAAGACAGGAATTAGGAGCTCTGTCCTGTTCGTAATGAGAAACAGACTAGCGCCATCTATCAGAAATCAGTAACATTCGCCATCATTCTGTTAAAAAGATGTTGTATGTTGTAACAGTATGTACATCACTATTAAACCAATATTAAAGTCGGTTGGTTTGTGCCCAAAAGTAAGAGTAAAATAGATATGATAAAAAAAAAAGAAAAACACAAACCAAGACGGAAAAAACACATGTACAAAAGAACTAAACAAACTAAATAACCGAATAGGGCCAGAACGTAAAGAATCTAAGATGATACTGTCTCAGTTGAAGGAAGCAGGGATGAGTTGCAAACATCACTGAATAAGGTAGTCATCGAAATTGAAAACCTGGGCCAGTCACTGAACCTGCAGAAAACAGAATGTATGGTAGTTTCTGCGAAGAAAAATGCACCTAGATGTATTTACATGCATGGAGAAGAGGGAAAACAAGAATACCAATTCTGCTACCTTTGGGTTTGATTCCCTCAGATGGGAGGAAAAGGTGGGGAAAATTCTCCTAATTCTCATTCTTCTTCTCCTCCTCCTCCTCCAAACTCAGGGCCTATCGAGTGCCACGCCCACGGCAGGGGAATCCCCAGGGTGCCTGACTCAGATCAATTGGGCTGGAAGTACTAGAAGGGGAAGGGTTAATATAATCGTGATAATTATATTGCATAAGCAACCACTTTAGTTATAATGTTTTTACGGGTAGATGGCGACCTTCCACTTCACTTATGGGTTCTCGGTTCAACGTTTGATCAAAGAAATAATTTGGGCCGAAATGAATTCCTCTAGTCTTGTAATACGGCCTTCCTCCTCCTACTCGTCCTCTTCCTCCTTCTTCTCTTCTTCCTCATTCTACTATCCTTACTATTACTCCTTCGCTCCTTCTTCTCCTTCTCCTGTTTTCCATCTCCTCCTCCTCCTCTATCCTCCAATAAATAGAGAAATATCTGATGTGACTAGAAAAAGATGTGTGACGATTTTTGGATAGTTAGAGAGAGAGGGGGGGGGGTCAATAACAAAAGAAGTTATGTGCAACGAGATGTGTACAAGAGTGAGAGAGAGAAAGAGAGAGAGGGAGAGCGAGAGAAACAAGGAGAGTGAGAAAGACAAGGAGAGTGAGAGAGAGAAGGAGAACGAGTGTGTGTGTGTGTGTGAGAGAGAGAGAGAGAGAGAGAGAGAGAGGGGGGGGGGACAGAGAGAGAAACGCACAACCATTCGGTCCATGTATTGTTTTTTTTTAAATTAATTAATTAATTAACGGTCACCGTATATTTTTGAAAGTGGAGCTGATTATTGGTATGATCATATTGGCTAAACTTTACACATTTTGTGGTCTAAAACTACCTTCATATGCACGAGAAATGTCATAGATAAGAATAAGAGCAATAAAGGCATTTGCGGTCTGAAAACAGAGCTCAACTATCCCTCAGCAGACTATAATGATAAATAAGAGAGGATATATAATGAAAGGTCAGGTGGTTTTAAGAGAGAGAAAATGATCAGGTTCAATTACGTTCAAAACCACCAAGTATTACAAAATAACTCCTCACAAAGCACAAACTAAACAGCAGACGTACTATACTATTGAGTGTCGCGGCCTCAATACACACACTGTACTCGCCTATTTCTGCATGACATGCACGCGCGCATACGTGAAAAGTATCGTTGGCTTTGTACGGGGAATCCCCGTCGTTACAAGATCGGTTTAGTCGACGTTAGATACATTTAGACGCCATCTTGATTTGTACATGGCGCGCAAAAGTCACCGGTATATTATCGAATAGTTCTTCTTCAGGCCAATGTTAATCATCAGAGGACAGCCAGTCGAGGAGGTAAACTTTCTTTCGGATTTCAAAATACGAAGGTGAGAACAGCAACTTAAATGTGTTTGTGGTTTGTTTTGATGGGGGTGTGGACATTATTGATGAAATGGTTATGATGAAATGAGCATAAAACGAGTATGAAACGAGTTTGTTTTGATGTGAGTGTGAGTATCAGTATGGACCTAGAATAAAAAACGGAAACAACAATGAGCTAGGGCATGTTATGTTTCATCACGAGGGAGAAAAATTATAGGGGAAATCAGGTTACTAAATGTGGAAGGCTTACTTTGTTCTCCCCCCCCCCCCCCCCCTCTCTCTCTCTCTCTCTCTCTCTTTGTGATGGAACAGGACATCTTTATTGAAGGAACAAATCCCTCCGTCTCTACCTCTCCTGCAAACCTTTTTTTCTGTCTGTCCCGATTAATGAGCCTCGTGTACAGTCTCCCTTTCCTCCACGCTCTTCCCATCTTTCCCAGTCCCCCCACCTCACCCCACTGCCTCTCTCCCTATATATTATGGCTCTGTATATACATGTATAGGCCTATATGTATATATTGTGGAGTGCCAGGATTGTCAAGTCTGACAGACATGAGCTCTTATACAGAAGAACCAACTATTATCATTATTATAATTATTTGTATTATCATCTTTATTATTATTATTATTATCAGTATTGTTATTATTATTATTATTATTATTATTATTGAAATATTTAGTAATAGTAGTTTTATTATTATTATTATTATATCATTGTTATTATTGTTTTTGTTATAACCATTATCTGTATGATCATTACTTTTATTATTATTATTATAATCATTTTTAGTATAATCATTGCTGTTATTATTATACATATTGCTCCGATTGTCTCATTTTCGCTCGCGTGAACATTGCCAGCACAAACCACTGACCTCTACCTCCTGAACGGATCATCGCCCATTCCCATTCACTATACGTTACGTACTAAAAGGCTGTAATGTCTGACCGTTCATGAATATTCATGTTTTTGCTAAACTCGGCAAAATGTTTGTTTTTACTAAATGGAAAAATTACGGTGGGGGGTTTGGATGAAATGGACATAATGAAATAGGCAGAAGTGATCTATGATAATTCATGCTTTTTATGTTTTGTGTGCTCGACCTATAATCTTCAAATCGCTTGGTAAACTGAGTCCAAAGTTAGACTTGTTTCACATGTGTATTATAGGCAATGACGAGCTTGCAACCTAGTTTGAAAAATTACGGTGGGTGAACTTTCAAAAGTCAATGAGACATGAGGGTTCCAATGAAAGAGCTAGTAATAACGTACGTCGGGGTGGATGTGCTTTTCGTTTAAACTAAAAATGAATTTTTAACGATTTTTTTTAAAAAACGTCCATAGGCTAACATGTTAGGCTGCTGATTCTGATCATGCTCTGACGATAGGGGGCGTTGTGAAATGAGACTAAACGGAGCCATATGATCATAATCATTATTACTATTGCTATTATTATCATTATTATTATTCTTATCATCATCCAATCTATACCTTATTTACAACTATATAGAGCTGGGTCTAATACATGGACCTAAAGCACTACAGAGGTGATGTCAATTTCACATAAACAATTTGGGCGGAAGGACCATGGGGTACCGAAAGATTACACTATCCCTACCAGAACCCCAACTTTTTTTTTGTTTATGTTTTTATTAAGAAATCAAATCATAACATATACAAACTTTCCCCAAAAAATACAAATGCTGTGTAACAAAGAAATTAATGACAAATTAAGATATTTACAAACAATTGAGATGATCTGGGGGGAAAAAAAGAAAAAAAGGCAGAGTACACGTAATAGAAATAATCAGAATTATAACAATTACAAGCACAAAAGCAAGAACCTCGAGATAGCATTGCATCAGAAACTGAAAATTTCGTTGGGCCCAAAATGAAGAAAAAGGAGTAAAAATAAGCCATCCACAGGTACAATGGAAACTCCAGACCACCAACAGGTTGGAGGAGCAAAGTCGAGGAATGAGACAATCCGCTCAACCCCCCTCCCCTCACACCCACACACCCTCAACACTCTCATACTAACACCCAAACACACAACCGCCCCTCCCCCCCCCCCCCCCCCCCACCCCCAACCCCAACACACACAATCCACACGCAACATGCGGGTATGACAGATCGCCTCACACCCCGACCCCGCCCACTCCAGACACCCAGTCGGCGAATTGCGCAGACAGAGCGTGGGGAAAATCGACTGAAGTGATACAAATACAACGCATTCCTGAATAGGTAATAAGGAAACACGCGCAAACTGACCCAATTCCAATCGAGGTTATTGCTCATGTTACACAGTGGCAATGTGATTTGTAAACAAAAATTATATGCACACAAGTAATGTAAAATTATTTGACTATGGGAAATAACTAACAGCAATGTAAAAGGGGAAAAGAAGAAGAAAAAAAAGAGGTTGGAGTAACAATAAATACTCGTCCAGAACCCCAACTTGATCTTATCGCACAGTTCTCTGGCAATTTAAGGACCTGTCCAAATGGCAGATGCGGTCTGCTCATAGCTCACAAGGTGATGTAATGAGACAAACCTAAGACCTTTTATTCTACCATCCCCATGACGTGTCCCAATCATCCAATGGCACATGTGGAAATTTATTGACAATACTTAAATGGCAATCTATTTGGACGGTGAGTAGGTCAATGTAAATTATCGTTTTTATTATTATTGCTATTATTATTATTATTATTATTATTATTATTATTATTATCATCATCTTTTTTTTATAGGGCTGTGTTCTACAGGTCAATACTCTGATCAGGATGGCGGCTAAATTCAGCTCTGCAGAAGACATCTGTGAAGGAGAGAACTGTGAGGCAATCACGGATGTGACGTACTACGTGAAGGAGAAGAAGAAGCTCTGCAATAACTGCGCCTCCACAGAGGGATGCATCGGAAAAGCAAGAAAGGGTGGGCCCAATCTATATTGTGTGAAGCATGATGAAGAAATCAAATTGTATTGTACAACACATGGTGTAGCACTGTGTTATTCATGCGCACATATAGATCATCATGAGCAGTGTTGCGTGCGACAGGATATAGAGGGCGCGATCATGGAAAGTAGAGCGAGTCTAACCACTCTAAAAGAAAAGGCAAAGGACAAATTAAAGCTCTGTCGAGTTTATGGAGATCAGATTCACCAGTGTAGGAAAGACACCGACACCCATCTACAAGCTTTGAAAGATGAAGTTGATTCGGTAATCAATGAGGCTATCCAAACAGACATAGACAGAGAGAAGGAGGATGCAGCAAAAATCAACCAGGATATTGATGAGAAGAATCAAAAACTTGAAGAGGAGATTCAAAAGATCAATGACAAGATTGTAAAGAACGATGAGGAGAGAGAGAAGCGACTCGAACTGAACCGTACAATCGCAGTGAAAAGACGAGAACCCATCGACAAAAAACAGCATAGTCTTCAAAAAGACATTCAAAACATCGCTGAAGAGAAAGAGAAAAAGATTGTGGAATTTGAAAAAACATGGCAAGATGACACGAAAATCACAGAGACTACAGTACAGACACTTGACAGAGTACTTGGAGATGATCAAAATGTCGTCAAAGACGGGCAACTTCTGAAGACATCAGTGAGTGATGAACTAAAGAAGCCACTGAATGAGGATGGTTTGAAACAAATCACTGGTACCATATCGGGTGTGAGGTTTGTGAAGGGTGCTGGGAGAGAGAAGTATGATGGGAGGATTGATTGGTATGATGGGGAGTGGAAACTCATTGAAACAATCAATATCAAAGATAAAATCACAGTCCCGGCCATTGTAGGATGCATAGATGAATGCAATGTGATCATCACAGATACAGTAAAGGGTAGCCCACATACATACGTGTTAGATATGAACACTAAACACACTCAGAGAGTGATAACCGGTAGTAATAGATCATGGGTTATCACATGTGCATTGCTGAATGATGACAAGGTAGTATGCGGTAAACACAGTGAAGGGTTTACAGGGGACAGTTTGACCGAATGCATCAGTGTGTATGACAGACAATGGAAGCACATCAATGACGTCACAATACCAAGAAACACAACGCTTGGTGACGCAGGGGTGGATGTAGCTGCTGACCAGGATGGGATGATCATCGCTGCTGAGTGGGATCAGTCTAAGATATACGTCATCAACCCAGCTGATGGTAAGATCATGAATACCATCACATGTAAACAGAATATAAGGATGCTAGGTTCACTATCATCAGGTCACATCATCGCTCAACCCTTCCCACCAGATCACAGAGTGTTCATTATCGACAGGCAGGGTGCTCAAAGGGAAATCCCCCACAGTGATGAAATCCTGAATGCCTGCATCGATCCTATGACAGACGACCGCTACGTTGTAACATCAAATGATGAGTACAAGACGTGTGTGATTGATCAGGTGATGAGTGGGCGTGATATGAAGAAGAGCTTGGTAGCATCATTCCCTCTATCAACTAGTCTGGGCTCACCTGAAAACAGGAAACATCGCCTTGCATTATCTCGCGTGGTGATGACGTCATCGGGGAATATGATTGCTTGCGATGGAGACAATATTCTCGTATTCAAAAAGCTATTGAGCCTATGAAGCAGGGGCGACGATTTTCATGACCGGGGTGGGGGGACGAAATGCGAGGGACGAGGGAGCATAGTGAAACAGAGGGGCGAAGGTGACGGAAGTGACTACCCCCTCACTTGATTTTGAAGTTTTGTTGTATCAAAGCAATTTACATTTTTCACACTTCACTTTTACTTTGCCGGTAATTAGTATGCAGTCCGAAGGCTTGTAAATATTTAGTAGGTAAATTGTAGTAAGTAGGGAGCTTGGGCATGGATGGGATTTATATTTTACACTCTAGTACACAGATATCACTATGGGAGTTCAAATGGCCAATGTATAGACTATGTGGTAGTGAACTATTTAAACCAACCAATATTACGGAATACCTGTAACATGACATATTGCACTTTTTGTAACACTATGTTAATGCAGTGTAAACTTTGTTTACGTGATACCAACGGCATACTCATTTTCTACAATATTTAGTTGTACATTTTGAAGGAAATCGTGCGAGGGAGTATAGCGACCGAGCGATTAGATTTTTGCATTTGTATAAGTCTAAACGCAGCACTCTTGGACCCTCAAGACGCTAAAAGTGTGTTACAGTCTTTAGTCAGTAGTTGCTATACATTTATTTGTTGCACTTTTTTCAATTTTTTCCAGGGGGGGGGGTGGGGACGATCCCCTCCTAACAAAAATTTAGGGGCGACGCCCCCCCCCCCCCCGTCCCCCGGGATCGCCATTCCTGCTGGGAGTGGCGTGGCCGAGTTGTTTAATGCGCTCGATTGGAGATGCGAAGATCGAGGTTTCATGGCGCTAATGTCCTTTGGCAAGATATTAACATGCACCTGCTACTCTCCACCCAGTATCCGGACACCTTCCCCCCTGGACATCCACCCCCGGATAACCAACCCCTGTCAACTATCCCCTAGGACAACTAGCCCCTAGTACAACTACTCCCGGACAATTACCACCCGACAACTACCCCCTCCTATAGGATGGTTGTCCTAGGGGGTAGTTGTTTTGGGGTAGTTGACCCGGGGGGGGGGGTAGTCGTCCTAGAGGGTGGTTGCCCCAGGGGGTAGTTGACTGGTATTTTAAGATAATATTTTATGGATTTTTCGCGTTGCTAAGAAACATATTAGTCATTGATATGAAGGGCCTGTTTTGACAAAACCAATGCTTAAACGATGACGTAAATTGCACGTTGTTGTTTTATTTGTTTGTACATATTAGTTTGGTTAATTGTAATCTATAATGGAAATAGCTACATTATAAATTTATTTGTAAGAGTGAACTTTATTGATGTTTCGTGTTACTAACAAATTTGATACTTTATCCAGGACCTATTTAGACAAAACCAATGCTACAACAATGAAAGTGTGCACGTCTTTGTCATTTGTTTGTTTATTTTTGGTGTTAGTTTTTGTTTAACCTGTTGTAATTTGTAAATAGCTACAATCTTTGTGTAGGATCTATTTTGACAAAGCAGATGATATAACAATGTCAGAAATTGTTTGTTTTAGCTTGTTTTTTCTGATAATTTAATCTATATTGAAATTAGCTACATTGTTGAGCTTGAAATTGAATATTCGTCTTGCTATGAAAAACGAAAGACACATAATATGTGTAACATTTACGTGTAACATTATGTTACACGTAAATCCCTGATATGTATTTTGACAAAGAAAATGCTATAATAATGACATAAATTGCGTGTTTTTGTAACATATCATATTACCATGGAAATAGCTTCATTGTTCTGTATAATTTATAAGATTCAATATTGTTGATTTCCCTTCTATATGATACATTTTAACTTTGAATATGTATTTTCGGATGGCTCAAAATGCTATATAATATACGAATAAAAAAAGGTGCAGAGCTTTCTGTCTGTAGGCCTACATATTACACATAGTCATCGCAGTCGTATGGATACAACAACATTTAATGTAAATTTCAAATTCTTGTTTTTTTTTTTTTATTGTACATATATTGTAATGAAACATGTTTGTCAGGATTTCGGTTTGATGATTTTGTTTTATACTGACTGCTAAAAAGGCATGTGTATGCCTGTAAGTAAGCAACCAGACGGCCGACGGCTTTGGGTCTTCTTCGGCGGACTTGGTAATGAGGATTAACGCCTTACCAAAGGGCACTAGCGCATCGAATTAGTTTCGACCCGGGACCTTACGATTTCGAGACCACTGCTCTACCACTGAGCCATCGCGTCTCATGTTAGACATTTGAATTCATTTTTAGTCGATATTGATCGACCTTGCCATCATAGTAAAGATCAGGATATTTTCTTTTGAATGATATTTGCTTATTTTGGACAATTTGGGTTTCAGATACGGCCTCTTTGGGCTGTCTGAAATGAGTCGTGCGTTATGTATTGACCAAATTTCTTAGCTTCATATGAGTAAAGAGAAATCAAGCTTTCCAATGATGTCTACATTGATAAAAACTTTCTTTTGGGAATACTAAGTTTTCTTTTTCATAGACATCCTGTACATAATTCAGCTACTAATAAGATGTGAACAGCTGTGTTGCATTTGTAAGATAATAATAATAATAATAATTCGTTCTAACTTGTAGAATATCTCCGCTTCCAGAGAGCTTTGGGAATTTATTATCCAAGCTTTAGCTCTGGCAGCCGTTTTAGATAGACCTACCAGGTACCCATTTACCTCACATGGGTATAAAGTGTGGAAAATGTAGATAATCGTTTAGCCAAAGGACATTAGTGTTGAGGCAGGGATTTTAACCCCGTACCTTGTGGTTCACAGTCCGGAGACTTATCCACTTGACCACAACACCTCTATATTTTTTATTATTTTTCCTCAGTTTCCTATAAGACATGTTAATCTTTACCATTTTATTTTGATAGAAATGCAATTACTCTATACTGACATAACCAACGAAAGAGTTTGAACGGTTTCTTGATCTATCAATATATTGCATATACGATAATAGCATGTAAATAGCTGCATTATGATAAGAATACAGTAGGATTTAAATTTTTTGATTGTGCAGTTATCTGTAAGACATGTAGCTCGAAGAATCGAAAAGGTTTCACGGTATTGCTATCCACACAACGATACATTTGATGTAAATATTTCATTGTACTAGTATTTGTGAGGATCATTCATACTTTCTTCCTTAATCAGATATTATGTTTATCTGTTATATCTTTAATAGACCAAAAGGTATAATATTAAAAAAAAGTTTCAGTTCAATTTTGTGTCAATTTTGTTATCCAAGACACCATACCATGTTTGACGTCATACCATGTAAATAGCTGCATTGTACCAGTATTTGTTTTCCTCATCAGATATTTTGTTAATCTATTCTATCTTTAGTTAAAACAAATGTTATAACATTAAGTGAGTTTCACCGCTTTGTAAATTGTGATATATCAAAAGATTATACACGATACTAATGTGTTATCATACAAAGCTGTACATTCAAATAAGAATCAAATTAGTTGGTTTCTGTTAAATTGTGTAACATAATATTTTGTCTGTATATTCTGCGTACATGCCCGGTAGTAATCGTGTACCTTTTTACGTAGAGATCATGTGGTACTGTGGTTCCTTCGCTAGACTCTCATACACGTAGCTCAGTCCAAGGGAAGAGGGTTCGAACCCAGCTTGGCCCTAACGTCCTTCCTTGAAAGACATTAATCCGCACTCGACACTCTATACCCAGGTGTAGTACATGGATACCTGACCATACTGGGGTAATAATAATCGCAGGGCCCGCAGGAAGTGCGTGTGACTACCCTGATAAATAAGACCCATTTATTATATTAATTATTTGTTTATTTATCTTTCTCTTTCCCTGAAGGGATGCCTTTCAATAACGGATTTGTAATCAGATCGTAGACCTGGGGAAGAGTAGTATTTAAGTTTGACGATTCAATATTTACACAAACGTATTACGTATAAAATGAATTAAGAGTACCGAAGTGTGACGTGATACGGGTCAAGTTGTCAAGGTTGATGGGATATGTGTTGTGCTAAACCAGGGCGATGTGACTTTAAGCCTTCCTGGCTAAACAATGGCGTAGTGATCATCACCAGTGGCAAACACAGAGTTTTCCCTGCTCCAGCCCGTTGCTTGAATAATTTTGCGGTGAACCTCATGCGCAGGCTCTCTTTTGTGGAACCAGTACCTGGGTCAACGAGCGAATATGACGTTAGCACTTCGGTTCTCTTAGGCGATTCCGTGTAATGTTGCCCAGAATGCGATAATTGTTTTCTTCTTCACATACATCATCCCAAAATCAAGAAGCTATGGATAAGACCGTTTTTCTGCTATCACTCCCGTTAGTCATAAACATATCAATGGGGTTTTCATTAATTGGTGACAAATAAAGATAAATGTCATAATTATGTGGTATGGAACACATTGCACTGAATCGCCACGTGCATGTAAACCGTTTACCTTTTATCACAATATGACCAAAAGGAGTCGGTGGAAGAAAAAATAACATTCTCTCGCATCACTTAAAATAGTTTGTAATTTCTTTCCGAACTTGTTCAGTATTTCTTTCTGGTATCATGTTTATTTTGTAATAACTCTTCCACTGTATCTCACTAGTATGGTACTATGTTGTACTTTTTCGGATTAACCATGACAGATATAAGTCTGTTCTCTGTAATAAAACTATACTGGTAGACAGGATGCTTATTATGATTCAGATTATCATTGTGATCTTACTCGTGTATTTGTCAATATTTATACCGAAATAAAAAATAATTATATGCGATAAAGAAATAAGATAAGATAATAGTTTTTTTTAATAGAGGCGAGAGAGAGAGAGAGAGAGAGATAGAGAGAGAAACGTAAAGTTGAATAAAACCGAGAATCAAAGAGTAGGTGAATCAAAAAGAAAAAAACGTAAACATAAAGTTGTAATGAGAGAGAAATAGAGAGAAGAAAGGAAGATGAAAAACAGAGGGAGAAAGAAAAAATAGAGAGAAAGGGAGGAAGAGAAGATAAAGAGGAGAGAGAGAGAGAGAGAGAGTAGAAAGACAGGTTAATGAGAAAGAGGGGAAAAGAGAAAGAGAGAGAAAGAGAGAGAGAGAGAGAGAGAGAGAAACATAAATAGAGGG